CTAAAAATTTTTATATTCTTTTCTTAACGATAGAGCAATAGCTACAATACATTCATTACATATTATATTAATCTTCTTTTTTATTATATAGCACATATTACATTCATTGTATTGCAATTTCCCATTTATAATTTCTCAACATTTATTATGGAGTCTTAATTTTGACCAGTATACCCACACATTTCATTTTCAATATAATTTTTAAGTAGGCTCCAGTCTGTCATCACAGCTCCTTTTCTGGCGTTTTGTCGCAACCAAAAGGTCAACTCATCCATCTCTTGAATTTCCAATAACTTTCCTAGCCATTGCGTTTTGGTTGGTATCAGGTCTTGTTTCCACAGTTTGGCATATGTCATTCTGGCGGCTGTCRTGAAGAAAATAAATAGTTTTTCCATRTTATTATTTGGGAACAGTTTCYTGTCAAACATTYCTARCAAAYAAATTTCMGGGARCATRGGGATRCTTAATTTTAAAATSTTTCTRCACTCTTTRTGTATGGTCCTCCARTATTCCTTTGCTTTTGGRCATAGCYACCAYAGGTGGTAAAAGGAGCCTTCCSTCATTTTGCATTTCCAGCATCTATTRTCCRTGTTCYTATACATTTTTGCTATCTTTTGKGGTGATAGGTACCARCGATGCAGCATTTTTAGCCAGTTCTCTTTTAGGTCTGATGARTARGTGTAGTTRAGACGTTTTCTCCAGATTGTTTCCCAGTCCTTCARATAGAGGGGTTTTCCTACGTTTTTTGCCCATTGAATCATTGAGTGCTTGACCGTCTCTGTCTCYGTGGCCCATCCCARTAGGTTTTGRTATATRGATGTTACTATTTTCCTATCTTTCTTTTGRATTTTYCCCCAKWMRTCATTTTCTTCACCAAAGCCTATTTTCTTATCCTCTTTATRGCTTTCTTYAATTTGGGCGTATTGSTACCACGAAACATTTTTGAAGTCTCTAGATATTTCTTCCTGTGTTTTTAACTCTCTTACCCCGTTATTCTTGCATAAAATGTCTTTATAGGACGGCCAATGGGTCCACCCTAGTAATCTGCGTTGCTTAGTCTCCAGTGGGGAGATCCATAGTGGTATATCCTCTTTATTGGTGCCTTCCTTATGTATTAAAGTGATTTCTGCCGTCTTCCAGGATTCTGGGATTGAGCCTTCTTGTAGTGCTTTATTCATCACTGTCTTTAGGGTGTCCACAATTTCATCTTCCATCGCTTTGTAAAAACACGCTGTGTATCCATCAGGACCAGGAGCTCTGTTGTTTTGGAGGCCCTTGATCGCTTTTTTAATTTCATCAGTGGTTATCTCTTTGTTTAGTAAGTTCCTTTGTTCTTCTGATATTTTTTTTAACTTTTGGTTACATATGTAGTTTACTATCTCTTCATCATTAGTCTCGTTCTTCCTGTATAGATCTTGAAAAAAGTTTTGGAATGCTTTTATTATCTCAACGTCTTTTATCAAGGTTTTATCATTTATCTTGACCTTGGAAATTCTTTGCTGTTGTGTTTTTTTTCTGATTTTCCAGGCCAGAAGTTTTCCTATTCTATTAGCRTTCTCGAACTCTTGTTGTCGAATGAACTTTAGTTGTTTTGCCATCTTTTCCGAGTCCAACCTATGCTTTTCTTTCTTCAGCAGTTCCAACTTTACAATCATTGTCTGATTATCTGGATTGTCTTTCAGATCTTGCTCTGCACTTCCTATCCGTTTTTCTATCTGGTCTTTTTGTAATCTTTTAAGTTTGTTTCGAATTGCTTTCTGTTGAAGCAGAGACCCTCGGAGCACCGCTTTAAATGCATCCCACACCATTTCTATCTTTGTTTCTTCTTTAGTATTTAGCTGGAAATACTCCTTAGTTTTCTCTTTATTCCTCCTGATGTCTTCTTCTAGCTTAAGTAGATTGTCGTCCAATCTCCATTTCCTAGGTCCCTGTTTATGATTTATTGTCATCGTTATTGGGGCATGGTCTGAATAGTCCCTTGGGAGTATTTTTATTTCTGATATCTTTGTTGTAATTGATCGTGTGGTCCAGATCATGTCAATCCTGGACCACAYGCGGTRCCTATTAGAGTAATATGTGTAGTCTTTAGTTTCTTCGTTKTGTATTCTCCATGCGTCCTCGAGATCATATTCTTCCATGCAGGAGAGAAAGCACCCCGGAAGGGTATTAGTATTTATTGCTTTATTCTTGTTCTGGGGAGTGGTCTTATCTAATTTGTAATTAATGATTCCATTAAAGTCCCCCAGTATTACCAGATGGTTATATGATACTGATGTTATCTTTTCCTTTAATGTTTTCACAAATTTCCTTTTAGGACCATTAGGTGCGTAGATATYGCAGATCAGTATGCTTTCTGAKCCTATCATTACTTTAACTCCCAGCATTCTACCCTCCTGGTCCTTGAAGATGCATTCAGAGGGKATATTATCATCTATGTATAGTGCTACCCCTTTCTTTTTCTCTGGGCCTGACGAGTARTACATTCTACCTAGCTTTTTWTRTATTAAGTGTGCGGTGTGGCGTTGTGCTATRTGCGTCTCCTGYAGRGCTACTATATTATACTTTCCTTTTRTTATTTGGGTAAAAATGGATTTTCTTTTACTRGGGGAATTCAAACCRTTCACGTTGTTAGAATARAATTTTACCTCTTGTGTAAAGTCARCCATCTTTTTCTTTTATTTCATCCTGGTCCATGTCRTCATCTTCCTCTTCCTCATCCTGTTCTCCTTKTRTAGGTTTGTGATCTCTGGTCGTTCTTCCGATGTCAGGGGATTTACTTCTCTTTCTCTTGGATTTTTTCCTTTTCTCCTCTGGTCTCTGGGTCGTTCTGATTTTAGACTCCTTTTCCAATTTTTTATAGAATTCTCTGGCTTTTTCTTCCGACGTAAGCCACCATCTTTCCCCTTGGTAAGTGGTCATAATTCCCTCCTGTTTCTCCCAGCGAAACCTAATGTTTAATTTTTTCAATTCATCTGTCAAAAAGAAGTATTTTCTTCTTTTGTTCAATGTGTTTGGGGGGAATTCTTTTAATATTGTTACTTTGGATTCTTTGTAGTGTAAAGGCCTTTGGTGACTCACTTTCAGTATCTCGTCTCTAGTTTTTTTCCTGACAAAATTCACCACAATGTCTCTAGGGGTTTTGTTTCTTTTAGCCTAGCTCGATTGGACTCTATAGACTCTGTCTATCCCATTTTCAGTTTCTTGCTTCGGCATTTCGATTAATTTGTTTAACAGATCTATTATGATATCCCTCGTGTTTTCGTTCTTTCAACCTATATTTTAACTCTGTGTATCTTGTTATATGTATTTTAATAGTGTTGCATCTCTTACATCCCTTCTACACAGCTGTATAAAATCCACATTGTCTGCTTTGAACTGGATTATATGGCAATGTAGACAAAGATAATCCAGTTCAAATCAGATGTGGATTTTCTGCTTTGATAACCTGGGTTATCTGGCAGTGTAGACGGGGCCTTTGTTTTAACAATGTAGTACCTTGCCTCAAGATGCAAGGAGAGGCTGGTAATAAATGTCTTATTATTATTATTATTATTATTATTATTATTATTATCATCATTATTATCATTATTTTACTGACACAAAGCCACTGTATGTCACAGCAAACGAGATCTATATGCTGGATTTCATATTAAAAAATCACAAGTTGAACACTTCCCAAGCATCTAGGACTGTGATATGTATTTTTGGATGATGTGTGCAGATCTAAGTAAGGTGGCCTTTTGCAGTTGGCAGATCGTGATTTTGTCATTGTTTATTGTTTCCAAATGCCAGCTGAGATCTTTTGACACAGCATCCAGTAATTAATAATAATAATAATAATAATAATAATAATAATAATTTTAAAAAACTTTATTTGTACTCGGTGCGGCTTACATGAGGCTAAGCCCAACAACACATCAATAAACAAAAGCGATAAAAAATAATCAATAGGTGGATGTACCGATGACCACTAGGACCACCTGTACTGGTTTATGCCAGAGCCTTTGCAGTTCAATTTTGAGGTCTTGATAATGGCTGAGTTTTTCCTCAATGCGGCTGTCACCTGGTATGGCAACATCAATAATCCAGACTTTTTCTTTTCCACAATTGTGATGTCTGGTGTATTGTTGTTGTTGTTAGAAACACAACAAGATGAGTCCACAGCAGACAAGATCACTCTGCTGGCTATTGTATTGGATCACCTGTGGGACATTCCCCAAGTGTCTAGGACTGTGTGATGTATCAGCAAATAATGCGTGCAGATCCCAGTAAGGTGGCCTTCTGCACCTGGCAGATGGTAATTTTGTCAGCGCCTATTGTGTTTAAGTGCAGGCCAAGGTCTTTAGGCACTGCACCCAGTGTGCTGATCACCACTGGGACCACCTTTACTGGCTTGTGCCAGAGTCTTTGCAGTTCGATCTTTAAATCCTCATATTGTGTCAGCTTTTCCAGTTGTTTCTCTTCAAGATACAAGACAGGCTTAAGGTGATGGGTGCTTTCCTATGGCTCCTCAAACCCTCCTCGTTGCTCAAGTGTTCTCTTGCGCCTAAGGCTGGTTTCGGATGCAATAGTCCTGGATGCAACATCGACAATCCATACTTTTTTAACACGATTGTGAGGTCCGGAGTATTGTGCTCCAAAACGCTATCTGTCTGAATTCAGAAGTCCCAGAGGAGTTTGATGTTTTCATTCTCTGTAACTTTTTCCGGCTGTGATCCCACCAGTTCTTTGTTGCAGGCAGATAATATTTGTGGCACAAGTTCCAATGAATCATCTGAGCAACAGTGTTATTCCTCTTCTTGTTATTGTTATTATTATTAAAAACTTTTATATCCCGATCTTCTCAACCTCCATAGAAGGACTCAGACCTGCTTACAGCAAGGATTCAATGCTAATAGTACAATGCTAATTGTTTTGCATTGCACTATTTTTGCATATTATTATTATTATTATTATTATTATTATTATTATTATTATTATTATGTATTCTGTAAAATGTCCAACATCCCAAAATATGTTTCTTAGTTCTGTACAAAGTTGTTCTGAATCACTATGCAACTTCTGGTGGCAACGGGAGACAATGAATACCAATCACTAACACCTAATCCACCACCCGTAAGCTTATTCTTTAATTATTGAGCACCCCAAGTAAAATTAAGGAGATGGCGTTGCCTTCAGATCCTCATCTAAATTCCAACAGTGTAGGAAAGTGAGAGAGAGGTCCAGCATAGTTGTTGGGCAAGTGCAGTTTATGGGATGGAAAGCAAGATTATAGGATAAAACTAGAGGTGTTCTACACACAAAAGTGGATTTTGAAGCAGGATGATTGCAGCTAGATGGGAACAACATATGGGGATAAGAGGCAGAATTGTTTAAGGCAGGAGTGGGGAATTTTGGGCCTTTGGATTACAAAACCCAGCCAGTTAGTCAAATAGCAAGGGATTGTGGGAACTCCAGTTTCAAACAACTGGCAACTTCTAAATTCCCCGATGTTCATTTTAAGGAAAGATAAAAAGTTCTCGGAAATGCCGTGTGTTAAAAACTGTACAGAAATTTTTGTTGCTTAGACTACAACTGCCATACTGAATGAGGGATTCTGGGGTGTATAGTTCAATTTTTAAAATTTTCCAAACTCTGGAGTTCAGTTGAGGAAAGTCTTGCTAGGATTTTAAAAAAAACCTAATTCAAAATTGAATGTGCATTTCATAACAAGATCAGGTGTCTAGATCAGGGGTCCTCAAACTTTTTAAACAGAGGGCCAGGTCACAATCCCTCAAAATGTTGGAGGGCCAGATTATAATTTGAAAAAAACATGAACGAATTCCTAGGCACACTGCACATATCTTATTTGTAGTGCAAAAAACACTTTAAAACAATACAATAATTAAAATGAAGAACAATTTTAACAAATATGAACTTATTAGTAGTTCAATGGGAAGTGCGGGCCTGCTTTTGGCTGATGAGATAGGATTGTTGTTGTTGTGTGCTTTCAAGTAATTTCAGATTTAGGTTGACCCTGAGCGAAGGCCAGGTAAATGACCTTGGAGGGCTGTATCCAGCCTTTGGGCCTTAGTTTGAGGACCCCTGGTCTAGGGAATAGGAGCTTCGGACTTTGAATCTTGTGCACGCTTTCCTTCTTGCTTCTGAAGATCCTCATAGCTTGCTGAGAGGCATCGCCTCTGGTTCTCTCTGGAGCCTCCAGACAACCTGGATCCTCTTGCCAACCCTATCTAGCTCTTGGAAGGCATGCAGGTGTCTCTCCTGGATGAATTCCCAAATGGCTGGCTGCAGGACAGTAATGGGAATGCTGAAGTTGAGGTGTGGATATGTCACCCCGATGCTGTTATCCCTGGTATTGCTGGCAACGATACCTGGAGTCGGAACAGGACAGATAAAGAGGGTGGAAGGAGGAGAAAAACACAGCATATAGTACCAGATTTAGTCAGTCCCCAAGTTACAGACATCCAACTTACATAATTAAGAACAGGGATGAGACAACTGGAATTTAGAGAAATCTACCTCTTGGAAAGGAAATGCACTCCTGAAAAAGTTATCATGGGGGAAAGGTGTCTCTGTCGATATTTTTCAGAATCTAATTATCACAGGGATAGAAAGTGAAGCTGTCCAAGACTGTTGCCATCATGTCATCATGGAGGAGCCGCAGGATGTTCACAAATTTTTTGGAGATGGTCCAGAGAGCACTACGATTCACTATGTCGACATGATGGCAACGGTCTTGGACAGCAATGGCTCCTAAAGTGACCCATTTAGGGTGGAATCAGGTGTGAAACAGGGATGTGTTATTGCCCCAACCTTATTCTCCATCTTCATCGCTATGATACTTCACCTTGTTGACTGAAAGCCAAAACCAAGGTTACAACAACATCTATTATAGAATTCCAGTATGCTGATGACAATGTCGTCTGTGTGCATTCAGAAGACCTACAAGCAACTCTAAGCACCTTTGCAGAGGCATATGAGCAGCTCGGCTTGTCATTAAACATCAAGAAAACCAAAGTGCTCTTCCAGCAGTCACCAGCCAATCCCTCTCCAATGCATGAAATACAGCTTAATGGTGTAACATTAGACCATTTCCACTACCTTGGCAGCCACCTCTCCACAAAAGTCAACATTGACAATGAAATTCAACACTGCCTGAGCTCTGCAAGTGCAGCATTTTTCCGAATGAAGCAGAGAGTGTTTGAGGACCAGGACATCCGTAGGGATACCAAGGTGCTTGTTTATAAAGCTATTGTCCTCCCAACCCTGCTATATGCCTGTGAGACGTGGACTGTCTACAGATCACATTCAACTCCTGGAATGATTCCATCAGGGCTGCCTCCGAAAAATCCTGCAAATCTCTTGGGAAGACAGGCAGACAAATGTCAGCGTGCTGGAAGAAGCAAAGACCACCAGCATTGAATCGATGGTCCTCCGCCATCAACTTCGCTGGACTGGCGACATTGCCCGGATGCCTGACCAGTCTCCCAAAGCAGTTGCTCTACTCCGAACTCAATAACGGAAAACGGAATGTTGGTGAGCAGGAAAAGAGATTTAAAGATGGGCTCAAAGCCAACCTTAAAAACTCTGGCATAGACACTGAGAACTGGGATGCCCTGGCCCTTGAGCGCTCCAGCTGGAGGTCAGCTGTGACCAGCAGTGCTGCAGAATTCGAGGAGGCACGAATGGAGGGTGAAAGAGAAATGTGTCAAGCGGAAGGCACGTCAAGCCAACCCCGACTGGGACCGCCTTCCACCTGGAAACCAATGCCCTCACTGCGGAAGAAGATGCAGAGCAAGAATAGGGCTCCACAGTCAGCTACAGAGCCACCGCCAGAACACCGACCTTGGAGGACCATCATCCTCAGACTACGATGGATCGCCTACGTAAGTAAGTAAGTGAGGCGAAATTTTCTCAACAGGGATACAGATAGAAAGGGATGTTTACCCTTCCCTGATATCTAAAGCTTTATCTATCTATCTATCTATCTATCTATCTATCTATCTATCTATCTATCTATCTATCTATCTATCTATCTATGTATCTATCTGGAGCTGAACTTAAAAATGTACCTGTTTCGACTTACACACAAATTCAACGTAAGAACAAATCTACAGACGGTCCTAGGGCAACTCTATAGCTTGCTGGGATTGGAAGTCAGGTGATTCAATGGTGTTCTGACATATCTGTAGTTTCTTATTGTAATTCCTTTCCACCCTAAATGCTGGAAATTTGATTTCTACCATAAAAGTAGTAGTTCACATAGGATTATATCCCACTCTGGAACTGATTTCTGTGATTGACCAATGACATCAGGAGATGGGAAGGGGAAATGGGAGAAAGAAAGGGTATGTTATATACCTAGGAGATTCCCACTGCGCATAGAAAAAAGTGCTCCTCCGCTTGAGCCACTATGAACTGCACAAGTTGCCTGGAGCATCACAGGCTTCTCTTCCACAGTGATGACTGCAGACAGGATTCCTGATGTTATTGATGGGCTGCAGGTCTGGCCAAAGACCCCAAAGCCAACGACACTCACCTCTTCTCCTGAACGAAAGAAATTGGCATGATAGGAAATGGGGAAAAGAAACACATTTATATATCTATACATACATAATAGATAGATAGATAGATAGATAGATAGATAGATAGATAGATAGATAGTATACATAGATAGTAATACAAGCCAAAGTTTGTATGTAAGTTTGTATGTATGTATGCATTTTCCAAGATGGCCCCAACTTTCAAAGAGCAACAAGAGATGTGGACCAAACTTGGCACACAACCCCCCCCCCCCATGACTCCTTTTAACTTCTGTTAGGGTTTGGGATGGGGGGAAGGACGCTGGATGATGGTTATTGCAGTACCTTCACCCATATCCAGAGACTATGGCGAACCCCATCAGCCATGGATCTGGACCAAACTTGGCATACAGATACCCCATGACTCACTTTAGGTCCTGGTGGGGTTTGGGGATGGACCCTGGACAATGGGAGTTCCAGTGAGGTTTGAGGGAGGATGGACCACGGACAATGGGATTTGCAGTATCACCACTCACCTCCAGAGACTACTGCTAGCCCCAGCAACCATGAATGTGGACCAAACTTGGCACACAGACCCCCAATGACCCATTTTATGTCCTGATGGGATTTGGGGAGGATGGACCCTGGACAATGGGATTTACAGTACCTCCACCCACACCCAGAGACTGCTACTAACACTTCGGCCATGAATCTGAACCAATTTCTAATGGGTCCATTCATAACATCCAAAAATAAACAATGCCTTTTTCAAGCAACCTGGGAATTGCCAGTTAACCACGCTGGGACATACATATATTTTTTTAAATGCTATCAACATGTAAATAGTCTTCTCTTCTTTACGATACCAAATCAAAAGGCCTTTCCTTAGGGTGATTCATGGGGAGTTTGCAGTGGGGCAAGACTGGAAGGAGGTGTGGCATAAAGGAAATTTAGAAGAGACAAACAAAACGTCCAGTTTAATTTAATGCAAAAATGAAATGTTTACATTGTCTGTATTTTAGTTAGATGTATTTTAGTTCTCACACCAGAAGCAAGTTGAAGTTTCTCAAGTCACTCCTGACACACACACACACACACACACACACACACACACACACAAGTTAGATGAGCAATGTATTTTAATTAGATATTTAGTGTAGTGGTTTGGATGACTTCAATTCTGGAGTCAAGGGTTCGAATCCCCGCTCTACCATGAAACACAGAGTGCCATTGGACAAGTCACACTCTCTCAGGTCCCTTCTACACTGTCATATAATCCAGTTCAAACCAGATAATCTGGATTTTATATGGCAGTGTAGAAGGGGCCTCTGGGCCCTTCCACACAGCCCTATATTCCAAAATATCCAAGCAGAAAATCCCACAATATATGCTTTGAATTGGGTTATAGGAGTCCACACTCAGATAATGTGGGATTTTCTGCCTTGATATTCTGGGAAATAGAGCTGTGTGGAAGAGCCCTCAGTCTCAAAGGAAGGCAAAGGCCAACCTCCTCTGAACAAATCTTGGTAAGTTCACCTTAAGATGCTATAGGTCAGAAGCGACTTCAAGGCACACAACAATACAATGTATTACGTATTTATATTATTTTCTTGCTTTATCTGTATTTTGTCCTGAATTATCACTGTATGTGCTTTCAAGTCATCTGTTGATTTATAGAAATCCCATAATTATTGTATGGCTTTCTTAGGCGAAGAATATTCAGACTTAGTTTTGTCAGTTCCTTCCTCTGAAATAGAGTCTATGGCAACTGGGATTTCTTGGTGGTCTCCCATCCAAGTACTAAACAGGGCTGACCCTGTTTAGTTTCCAAGATCAAATGGAATCTGGTGCTGGGTTGTTGTAGGTTTTTTCGGGCTATATGGCCATGGTCTAGAGGCATTCTCTCCTGACGTTTCGCCTGCATCTATGGCAAGCATCCTCAGAGGTAGTGAGGTCACTACCTCACTACCTCTGAGGATGCTTGCCATAGATGCAGGTGAAACGTCAGGAGAGAATGCCTCTAGACCATGGCCATATAGCCCAAAAAAACCCTACAACAACCCAGTGATTCCGGCCATGAAAGCCTTCGACAATACTTGGAATCTGGTGCCTTAGCATGTTTAAGCTAAATTAATTCAAAATTAAACCAAAGCAAATAAATCCTCCCAATCATTGCAGCACTCATACCAATTTTTAAAAATCCCATTAGCATATTTGAGCATAATGTTGACATACGTGCTCTTTTTCATGCTACTTTAGCCTCACAAAGAGGTCTGTCTGGCCTCATCTGCCAAATAAAATCCAGATTATAAACCTTGAACTGGATTATATGGTAGTGTAGACTCATATAATCCAGTTCAAAACAGATAATGTGGATTATCTGATTTAATAATCTGGATTAGATTGTAATGTAGGAGGGGCCTAGAGGTAGGTTGAGATATAACTGCAATAAATAAATCCAGGATCAGACCAAGGCCCTTTCTACATAGCTGTATAAAATCCATAATATCTGCTTTGATAGCGTGGATTATCTGGCAGTGTAGAAAGAACCCAAAACAAATTGCTCATGGTGTGACCAGGGTTTGGTGTATATTTTTATAATAATGCATTTTACCTATGTATTTTATTATATGTATTTTATTATATTATGTTCATACATTTTGACTCTGTTGTAGCCTGCCTCGAGCCATTAGGGGAGGCAGGTAACAAATAAACATTATTATTATTATTATTATTATTATTATTATTATTATTATTATTATTCTTACCTAGGCAAAACTCTGATGCAAGAACAGGAATTGCAAAAGTGGTCAAACTTTCCTCCAACTCAACCAGAGCCACATCATACGGAGAAGAGTCCTTGGTTGCAAAGATCACCTTTCCTTTAGCAACAGAAGCCCTAAGAGCAAACATAGAAAGAAAATTAAAATATGTCCGCAAACCTTAAAAAACATTACAGGCCCCTATCTACACTACCATATAAAATCCAGATTATCTGCTTTGAACTGGATTATATGGCAGTGTAGACTCATATAATCCAGTTCAAAGCAAATAATTTGGATTATCTGCTTTGATAATGTGGATTATATGGCAGTGTGGGAGGAGCCATGGTTTTAGATGAAAATTCCCAGAAACATAACTGCTATGGCCACCAACTGGCAGATTCTGTGGCCCCTTCTACACTGCCATATAAAATCCAGATTATCTGCTTTGAACTGGATTATCTGGTAATGTAGACTCATATTATCTAGTTCAAAACAGATAATGTGGATTATCTGATTTGATAATCTGGATCAGATAGCAGTGTGGAAGAGGCCAGAGAGCTGCAATCAGGAAGTAACATTTCCAAATTCAGGGATTTGGATACTTTCAATAAAACAATAAACATTGGATAACTATTTAAAAAAACAGTCAAATGCATATTCTTTTGGCATGGCACATTGTGCAAGGTTTATACACAAAGCCCCACTGAAATAAAATAATTGATGAAGGATTATAGAACTCAAATTTATAATCTGAAGTTGCCAATCCCTTTTATAAATAGAGGTAAGTCCCCATATCAAGGCAGATTTGCTCATTCAGGGACCTTCCACACAGCCATATTTATTTACAATATTTATATTCCGCCCTTCTCACCCCGCAGGGGACTCAGGGTGGATTACAATGTACACATATATGGCAAACATTCAATGTCAATGACACACAACAGATATAGACAAACAGAGGCTATTTAACTTTTCTGGCCACCAGGGGAGCTGTTGCTTTCATCGTCCATCTGCGACACTGATGAAGTGCTTCCGCATTCCCCGCATGCTTTTTGCTGGAGTGCTTTGCTGGATTCTTTTTATGGCCTTGTAAATTAGTTAAATTAGCCTCCCCACACATAGGTGGTACCTAACTTTCCTACTTGACAGATGCAACTGTCTTTCAGGTTGCAAAGGTCGACAACAAGCTACACAATTGGTTGGAAGCTCACTCCGACCCGGGCTGGCTTCGAACTCATGACCTTTTGGTGAGAAGTGATCTTAATGCAGCCGACATTCAGACAGCTGCGCCACAGTCCTGGTGTAACCCAGAATATCAAGGCAGATAATCCACAATATCTGGTTTGAACTGGGATATCTGCCATATAATCCAGTTCAATGTAGATTTTATACAGGCGTCAGCGGTATCTGGGAGGCGTCGGCGGTATCTGGGAGGGCTTTCGCACAATTGAGACTCGTGCGCCAACTGCGACCGTACCTCGCGAAGGCTGATCTGGCCAGGGTGGTCCATGCCTTGGTCACCTCCAGACTGGACTACTGCAATGCGCTCTACGTGGGGCTACCCTTGAAAACGGCTCGGAAGTTCCAACTGGTCCAACGAGCAGTGGCCAGGATGTTAACTGGAGCCCTTTACAGAGAGAGGTCAACCCTCCTGTTCAAGGAGCTCCACTGGCTGCCGTTTATCTCCCGAGCCCAATTTAAGGTGCAGGTGCTTACCTACAAAGCCCTGAACGGTTTGGGACCATCCTACCTGCGTGACCGCATCTCCGTCTATGAACCCACGCCCTCACTTCGGTCATCTGGAGAGGCCCTGCTTGTGATCCCGCCTGTGTTGCAAGCGTGTCTGGTGGGGACACGAGACAGGGCCTTTTCTGTGGTGGCCCCCCGACTCTGGAACACCCTCCCCAAAGATCTTTGACAGGCCCCTACATTGGCTGTCTTCAGAAAGAACTTGAAAACCTGGCTGTTCTGATGTGCCTTCCCAGAATAGGAAATCTCCAATACCAAGTCCCACAAGCACTTTATTAAAACTAAGACTGCCGCACACTGCACACTGCACTTGCCCTATACGCCTTATATTCCACCTGTCACATCAGCACTTTTAATCCTGTACCCATTACTCTGGCCCGGCCCAGTTTTATTGTGTCTTAGTGTATTGTTTATTGCTTGTTGTTTATATTGCTTTAATTGTTTCCAATTTGCCTTTGGTTTGTATTGTTGTATTGTGTGTTGAGGCCTTGGCCTTTGTAAGCCGCATCGAGTCCTTTGGGAGATGCTAGCGGGGTAGAAATAAAGTTTAATAATAATAATAATAATAATAATAATAATAATAATAATAATAATACAGCTGTGTGGAATGGGCCTCAGAAGCAGCACTGTTTACTATATACATGTATTTATTTTCTATTAGTATATTATATTATTACTATATTTATGCTCCATTTTCCCCCCTTCAAAAAGACTCAAAGCTTCTAGGGCTACATTTATATAACTTTGTTACCCATGGATATTAACAGTGTACAATCCTGAGGTCTAAGACGAATAAAGGTTCAGGATGATGGGAATTGGAGTCCAGCATTTAGAACACTGTGTTTGTTATCTAGCCTTGTTCCTCATGTTATGAGAATGAAGACTTACTTGTCAAGGTGGGGCTGTAATCTCACGCAAACGTTGGCGGCGCCACTGACCACATGTCGGCAGGTCAACACAAGCCGAGGATTCACCATCACACCAGAACCCCAGGTTGGTCCACATTCAACCAGAACCACGGTGGCTAACATTTGCTGAACCAAACCATCTCTGGTTGCCGGACCGTAACGAGCCTTAGTCACAAGTGCCATGGGGTGCAACCAGGTTTTGCAAAACCAAGGGGGCCCAGAAAGGATGTGCCCAATACTTTCCAGGATGCAGTCGACGGCACAAACCAGAGTCAGGCCAACCCACTCATTGGCTTTCCAGCAAAGTGGAGCAACAATGATTCCAACCAAGTGAAAATCATTTTTTGAGACTGCAAAAACCCCGCCGCCTTCTGTGCCAGGCAAGCAGCGTGCGTCTGTCAGGATGAGGGCATTGCCTTCTCCCGAGGTGTTGCTCACAATCCCTTTGCTGAAGGTGTTCATGAAAATGTCGGGGCAAAACGCCCCAAAAGGGGAGCCACAAGCAATGAGTGGGTCCCCCTTCCTCAGCCCCTTGGCTGGCGCACAGCTCACCCACCCGCCACTGGGGAAACCACTGTCCAGGATCCTCAGCAAAGCAAACCAGTGCAGGAAATGCATCTCATCTGCAGCAGAGTCAGATTCTTGTCCAACCTCATTCCCTCCAAAATGCCACTGGTCAGAAGCACTGAAGATTTTGGCAAAAGCCTCCTGGAACTGCAGGCAAGGAGCCATCAGAATGAGTTCGGCTTCTCTGTGTTTTTGGCTGTTGGGGATCTTTTGCTGGCTGGAAAGTGGATTGAACCGCAACACTGGGGTGTTATCCCCCAGATCCCTGCCTGGCAAACTTCTGCAAGGGGTTTGGCTGCCTTCATCCGTCACCAGCACCTGGATCTGGAGGTCTGGGGAGAAGCTCTCAGGCAGCAATACTTTGCATTTGGATGAACTGTGGTGCTCCGTTTCCAGCAGGAAAGGTGAGAAAATGGAGCCGTGGCAGAGGATGATGCCTGAGTCGAGGGTCAAGAAGACGCCGCTGCCACTCCAGGGTCCCTGGGGAGAGGTGCCCACAGCCACACTGCGGTCAGCGGGATGCGACACCGTGACCACACAGCCAGCCTTCCCGGCTGCCAAGTACAAGGCCTCAGCCATAAAGGAAAGGATCTGTCCGACTCAGTAGCCCTGGGAAGAGAAAGGATTCCATTCAATAGAGAGCTGGATACAATCTATCTATATAAATAAAAATGTAATGTTCGTTTGTAGGATTAATAGAACTCCAAAACCGGTGGGCCAATTGACACCAAATTTGGACAGCATAGGCCTAACAACCCAATGTATGCCCTTCACTCAATTTTTTTTTATTTTGTCATTTGGGAGTTGTAGATGCTGGGATTTATAGTTCACCTACAATCAAAGACCATTTTGAACTCCGCCAATTATGGCATTGAACCAATGTGGCACAAAGGACTCCCATGACCAACAGAAAATACTGGGTTTGGTGGGAATTGATCTTAAGTTTGGGACTTGTAGTTCACCTACATCCAGAGAGCACTGTGGACTCAAACAATGACGGATCTGGACCAAACTTGGCACGAATATTCCATATGCCCAAATGTGAACACAGATGAAGTTTGGGGGAAATAGACCTTGACATTTGGGAGTTGTAGTTACTGGGATTTATAGTTCACCTACAATCAAAGAGCATTCTGAACCCCACCACTGATAGAATTGGGCCAAACTTCCCACACAGAACCCCCATGACCAACAGGAAATACTTAAGGCCATCCAGTCCGATTCCCTTCACCAGAGCAAGAAAACGTAATCAAAGCCCTCCCAACAAAGAGCCATCTAGCCACAGATATAAATAGATATATATGATTCACACAGAGAGAGATATAGTATAGATTGGAAAGGGACTCCTAAAGAAGGACAATGATATGTTGCATATTCCAGAGTAGGCAAAGCAGACACTCTCCACATCAACACTGACAAAGAAACAGCAAGAAATACTGTTTACCCACAAGCATAAAGACATTACATAGATTAGAAACCAACACTTTCTCATTACTTTATTTTCCAGATCACTAGACTGGGCCACAGCAACGCGTGGCAGGGGACAGCTAGTCTATATAAATAAAAATCTAATGTCCGTTTGTGGTATTCACAGAACTCAAAAACCCCTGGAAGAATTGCTGTCAAATTTGGCCACAAGACACCTACTAACCCAAGGAGTGACTATCACTCAAAATAAGTTGATTTTGTCATTTGGGAGTTGTAGTTACTGGGATTTATAGTTCACTTACAATCAAAGAGCATTCTGAACCCCACGAATGACAGAATTGGGGTAAACTTCCCGCACAGAACCCCCATGACCAACAGAAAATACTTAGGGCCATCCAGTCTGATTCCCTTCACCAGAGCAAGAAAACGTAATCAAAGCCCTCCCAACAAAGAGCCATCCAGCCATAGATATAGATAGATATATATGATTCACACACAGAGATATAGTATAGATTTGAATGGGACCCCTACAGAAGGACAATGATATGTTGCATGCTCCTGAGTAGGCAAACCAGAAAAGCACCACATTAACACTGACAGTTGCTGGGATTTATAGTTCACCAACAATCAAAGAGCATTCTGAACTCCACCAAAAATAGAATTGGGCCAGGGCTAACTGAAAATACTGAAAATACTAACTGAAAATACTGTTTTCTGATGGTCTTTGGTGACCCCTCTGACGCCCCCTTCATGATCCACCTAGTCCTGACCAAAAGGTTGAGAAACGCTGTCCTAGAGTCTCAACCATATATATATATTCTCACCCTGCAGGGAACTCAGGGCGGATTACAATGAACATATACATGGCAAACATTCAATGCCATAGACACACAACATATATAGACAGACTATTAACTTTCCAGCTTCTGGCCACCAGGTAAGCTGTCACTTCCTCATTCTTTGCATACTTGCATACTTCCTGGAGATTTTTTATGGCCTCGTAAATTAGTTAATTTAGCCTCCCCACAAAGTGGTACCTAATTTTCCTACTTGACAGATGCAACTGTCTTTCGGGTTGCAAAGGTCGACAACAAGCTACACAATTTTGGTCGGGAGCTCACTCTGACCCGGGCTGGCTTCGAACTCATGATCACTCGGTCAGTAGTGATCTTAATGCCAGCTGCGCCACAGTCCTGGTTTGTGACAGCCACAAAAACCAAGAGGTAACTGGAGGCCCTGTTGGCACAGTGGGTTAAACCACTGAGTTGCTGAGCTTGTTGACCGAAAGCGCGCAGGTTCGAATCCAGGGAGCAGGGTGAGCTCCAGCTGTCCGCCCCAGCTTGTATAAATATGTGAGAGGAAGCCACAGGGAGGAGGGAGCAAGCTTGTTTTCTGCTTCCCTGGAGACTAGGACACGAAACAATGGCTTCAAACTACAAGAGAGGAGATGCCATCTGAACATGAGGAAGAACTTCCTGAGTGTGAGAGCCGTTCAGCAGTGGAACTCTCTGCCCCGGAGTGTGGTGGAGGCTCCTTTTTTGGAAGCTTTTAAACAGAGGCTGGGTGGCCATCTGTCAGGGGTGATTTAAATGCAATATTCCTGCTTCTTGGCAGGGGGTTAGACTGGATGGCCCATGAGGTTTCTTCCAACTCTTTGATTCTATGATTCTGCTAACCTAGCAATACGAAAACATGCAAATGTGAGTAGCTCAATAGGTCATGCAGTCATGCAGGCCACATGACCTTGGAGGTGTCTATGGACAACGCCGGCTCTTCGACTTAGAAATGAAGATGAGCACCAACCCCCAGAGTCAGACACGACTGGACTTCATATCACTGGAAAACCTTTTTGTTGTTCATTCGTTCAGTTGTTTCCGACTCTTCGTGACTTCATGGACCAGTCCACACCAGAGCTCCCTGTCAGCCGTCACCACCCCCACGGAGCTGGGGAAACCTTTACCGGGTCCAATAGGGAACAGGATTCGGCAGTGAAATTGATCGAATTGGGAATAGAAAACTGAATCCAGTAGGAAACAGGATCCAACAGGAAACTATATCTAATCAGGAACTAGGTTTGATAAGCAACTGGAGCCAGTAGGGTACAGGATTCAGTAGGAGACTGCACTGATGGAGAAAGAGAGACCTTGGAAAACTACAACTCTCATGATTCATTAGAATGGAGCCATGGCAGTTCAAGTAGGGTCAAGCTGCATGAATTCTGTCATAGAATCATAGAATCAAAGAGTTGGAAGAGACCCCATGGGCCATCCAGTCCAACCCCATTCTGCCAAGAAGCAGGAATATTGCATTCAAATCACCCCTGATAGATGGCCATCCAGCCTCTGTCGCTACACTCCTCCCTGCCTGGGATCTTTAGAGATCAGGAAGCCACTTACAAAGCGTGAAGAGGAGAGGCCCTTGCCCATCGCGATGGAGTGCACAGCCTGCCTCCTCCACTCAGGATCCAAGTCTCTCAAAGTCTCTCCCCTCAAAGGAGACCTTTGTTTTGAAATCCGGAATAGGACCCAGAATAGAACACACCGCGTCAGGTGGTCGTGAGGAGGCCGCCTCTCATTGGCTGCCCCGTGCCAGGGAAAAGGCTGCGATTGGTCGGAAGGGCTCGTGCTCCAGGCGCTGCCTCCGATTGGCTGCGATTCTTTCCTAGTCAACGCGAGCGGAGGTGGGAGGAGCTTAGAGAGGGCTACAACTCCTATGATCTCGCAGCCAAGTCACTTTTCCAAGCATTCCTTTGCCAAAGGTTGAGGCTTAGCAGGACTTTGCTCCCAGGAAATCGATGGATCAAAGTTTCCTCTTTTGTGAGCTTCAAGTCTCTCCTAATTGGTGCCTTTCAGACTTGGCCAATGTGGTCCACGCCTTGGTTACATCCAGATTGGACTACTGCAATGTGCTCTACTTGGGGCTGCCCTTGAAGACGGTCTGGAAGCTCCAACTGGTACAACTTGGGAGTGATCCTGGATTCATCACTGAGCCTGGAAGCCCAGGTTTCAACGGTGGTCAGGGGAGCTTTTGCACAGTTAAAACTTGTGCACCAGCTTCGCCCGTAACTTGGGAAGTCTTATCTGGCCACGGTCGTCCACGCTCTGGTTACATCCCAAATAGATTACTGCAACACGCTCTATGTGGGGCTGCCGTTGAAGATGGCCCGGAAGCTCCAAGTGGTACAACTTGGGAGTGATCCTGGGTTCATCGCTGAGCCTGGAACCTCAGATTTCAGGGGTGGCCAGGGGAGCTTTTGCACAGTTAAAGCTCGTGCACCAGCTGCGCCCGTAACTTGGGAAGTCTGATCTGGCCACGGTCGTCCACGCTCTGGTTACATCCCAAATAGACTACTGCAACATGCTCTACGTGGGGCTGCCCTTGAAGACGGCCCGGAAGCTTCAACTGGTACAATTTGGGAGTGATCCTGGGTTCATCGCTGAGCCTGGAACCCCAGATTTCAGGGGTGGCCAGGGGAGCTTTTGCACAGTTAAAACTCGTGCACCAGCTGCGCCCGTAACTTGGGAAGTCTGATCTGGCCACGGTTGTCCATGCTCTGGTTACATCCCGAATAGATTACTGCAATGTGCTGTATGTGGGGCTCCCCTTGAAGACTGCCTGGAAGCTCCAACTGGTACAACTTGGGAGTGATCCTGGATTATCGCTGAGCCTGGAACCCCAGATTTCAGGGGTGGCCAGGAGAGCTTTTGCACAGTTAAAACCCGTGCACCAGCTGCACCCATAACTTGGGAAGTCTGATCTGGCCACGGTCGTCCACGTTCTGGTTACATCCCGAATAAATTATTGCAACGAGCTCTATGTGGGGCTGCCTTTGAAGACAGTTCGGAAACTTCAGCTAGCCCAACGAGCGACAGCCAGGTTACTACCCGGAGCGACATACAAAGAGCATACCACCCCCTTTTGTTTCAGCTCCACTAGCTGCCAGTCCATCTCCCAGCCCAATTCAAAGTGCTGGTTTTGACCTATAAAGCTCTATATGGTTCAGGCCCAGCTTACTTGTCCAAACGCATCCACCCCTACGTCCCATCTTGTAATCTAAGATCTTCTGGGGAGGCCCTGCTCTCGCTCCCGTCAATTGCGCAAATGCGCCTTGCGAGGACAAGAGACAGGGCCTTCTCGGCGGTGGCCCCTCACCTATGGAACACACTCCCAAATGAGGTAAGATCTGCTCCCTCCCTCCTGGCTTTTAGAAAGGAATTAAAATCATGGCTTTGGAACCAGGCCTTCGGACAGTAGATGTATGTCGTATTGTCATTCTAGACTAGAATGACAATACGACTGGCGAGACTGGCGCATCTCCCTCTATGAACCGGCGCAAACTTTAAGATCTTCCGGGGAGGCTCTCCTTTTGCTCCCACCACCATCACAAGCATGGTTGGTGGGGACGAGAGAGAGAGTCTTCTTGGTGGTGGCCCCCCACCTCTGGAACGCCTTTCCTGGATCATTATTGTTTTAATGATTGCTTATGTACTGTCTAATTATGATTTTTGCTTAATTGTGATTTTATTATTGTGGTTGTTATGGATTTGCATCACGTCAGTGTCCAATGTATGGCATTGAAGTTTTGCCAGTTATGCGTAAACCGCTTTGAGTCCCCCTAGGGGTGAGAAAAGCGGTATAGAAATATTGTAAATAAATAAAATAAATACAACGGGCGGCAGCCAGGCTCCTTACTGGAGCAAACTATAGGGAGCATACAATGCTCCTTTTAAAACAGCTTCACTGGCTGCCGATAAGTTGCCGAGCCAAATTCAAAGTGCAGATTATGACATATAAAGCACTAAACAGTTCGGGGCCCGTCTATCGTCGTGATTGCATCTCCCTCTATGAACCGGTGCGAACTTTAAGATCTTCCGGGGAGGCCCTCCTTTCGCTCTCACCACCATCACAAGCATGGTTGGTGGGGACAAGAGAGAGGGCCTTCTTGGTGGTGGCCACCCGCCTCTGGAACGCTCTTCTTGGAGAAATAAGACAGGCCCCATTTATTTATTTTACTTATTTAAAGCATTTATATTTTGCCCTTCTCACTCTGAAGGGGACTCAGGGTGGAGCACAACATATAAACAGCATAACATTAAATGCCGAAACATATTAGACCAGTGGTTCTCAACCTATGGGTTCCCAAGTGTTTTGGCCTACAACTCCCAGAAATCCCAGCCACCTTACCAGCTGTTTCTGGGAGTTGAAGGCCAAAACATCTGGCGACCCATAGGTTGAGAACCACTGTATTAGACCATGCACATACAAAAGCATTAAAATCACTTATATTGACGTTAAAATCCACTAGTTAAAACTGTCTCAACAACCATATCAAATTTGGTTGGCATACTAAGGGTTCCTATCGCTGCCTCATTGCAGTCCCAAAGGCTCAGTCCCACAGCCACGTTTTTTATCATCCTTCTAAAGGACAAGAAGGGGGGAGCTGTCCTGATCTCATTAGGAAGGGAGTGCCATAGCCGAGAGGCAATTACTGAGAAGGCCCTGTCTCTCGTCCCTGCCAAACGCACCTGTGATGGTGGTGGGACTGAGAGCAGGGTCTCCCCAGATCTTAATTTCCATGGTGGTTCATGGGCGGAGATGCGTTCAGACAGGTAAATTGGGCCAGAGTCGTTTAGGGCTTTATAGGCCAAAGCCAGCACTTTGAATTGTGCCCGGTAGCAAATTGGCAGCCAGTGGAGCTGGCATAACATGGCAGTTGTGTGCTCCCTGTACACTGCTCCAGTTATTAACCTGGCTGCCTCTCACTGGACTATTTGAAGCGTCTGAGCAGTCTTCAAAGGCAGCCCCACGTAGAGGGCACTGCAGTAATCTAACCTTTTGTAAGGGCCTGAAGACTTGGTGGTTTAAACAAACCTTTGAGAACGTCTAGTGCTAGCTTAACTGTTGAATATGGCCATATCTTTTCCTACCACTTACCCAGGTCACTTTCTTCTATAAGGCCCTGGAAATGTACAGCCATAGGCCACTAAAATCGCACCGGCCCGGCCTTTTAAACTGCCTTGAACAGGCAGGATTATTTTAAATATATGTGCTATTGTGGTTTTTAATGCTTATATTGTCTTGTTAATTTTATGTTTATGCTGTTTTCTTTGTATGTATTGATTATGTTACTTGGAAACCACTCTGAGTCCCCTTGGGCAGATAGAGCGGTATATAAAGTTTTGTTGTTGTTGTTGGGAGTACAAAAGAATGTATTATTTTGTTCCAGACAGTGCATTTGAAAGCAATCGTTGTCAATAGGCATGGCAGTCTTGGCTTTTGGATGACCAGTGGCCACAAATCGAACCACACAATTTAATAAGCCAACCACAAAGTTCCCATCCTTGTTTCAATGCCTTCTGGAAGTCATATTACACACCAAGAGCCCCTATATCAGGCATGGGCAAACTTGGTTGCGCAGCAGCGGAATTTACCCAGCGCCCAAAGTCCAAATGCAATGGACTCACAGACAAGAGGAAAAATGAACAGAAAAATCTTTACTCAGCAGAGATGAAACATAAACTTGCAAGGTCCTTGTAAGTAACACAAAATAAGGCATTTTAATCTTACATCAAATGAGAGAGCAAAAATAAACCTTTTTAGTCAATAGCTATTCCACCATAGCCTCCTTCAGTGGCTTCTCCATGCTGCTCCCCAAAGCAAAGCCTTTGAACGTAGATCTCCTCAGAGGAAAAAGCTCTCCACCACCCACACTGTATTCTAAAAAACCCAAACAGATATACACCATTGGGTGTGGCCCAATCTTGCTGGTTGACCTACATTCCCAGCTGCACATGATAATTAACACGATAAGGTTTTTCTTCAACACACACACAATTGGTCCTGCTATTATTATTGTTTTTATCATGTCAGAAGCAACTTGAGGAACTGCAAGTCGCTTCTGGTGTGAGAGAATTGGCCATCTTCAAGGACGTTGCCCAGGGGACGCCTGGATGTTTTGATGTTTTTACCATCCTTGTGGGAAGCTTCTCTCACATCCCCACATGAGGAGTTGGAGCTGATAGAGGGAGCTCATCTGCACTCTCCCCAGATTCGAACCTGTGACCTGTTAGTCTTCAGTCCTGCCGGCTCAGGGGTTTAACCCACTGCGCCACTGGGGGCTCCGAGGGTCCTGCTATGACTTACCACAACAAACTTGGGCCCTCCAGGTGTTTTGGACTCCAACTCCCACAATTCCTCACCACCTCAGGCCCTTTCATTTCCCCCCTCAGCTGCTTAAGCCCTTTCCTTTTGGACCCTCCAGGTATTTTGGATCCCAACTCCCACAATTCCTCACAGCCTTGGGTCCTTTCCTTTCCCCCTCAGACGCTTAAGCCCTTTCCTTTTGGGCCCTCCAAGTGTTGACTCCCAACTCCCACAATTCCTCACAGCCTCGGGCCTTTCCTTTTCTCCCTCAGACGCTTAAGCCCTTTCCTTTTAGGTCGTCCAGGTGTTTTGGACTCCAACTCCCACTATTCCTCATAGCCTCAGGCCCTTTCCTTTCCCCCCACCCCCAGCCGCTTAAGCCCTTTCCTTTTGGGCCCTCCAAGTGTTTTGGACTCCCAACTCCCACAATTACTCAAAGCCACAGGCCCTTTCCTTTCCCCCCTCCAAAACATCTGGAGGGCCCAAGTTTGCCCATGCCTGCCCTATATGAATCAGTTATGGTTTTTAACCAATTGTTGTAAACTTAAAACAGTGATACCATTTTTAAAACTCCAATATTTCATGGTTTCTGGCTGAATAGAAATGGAAAAGCATAGCATTGTATATTTTGGCAAACGATAGATTTGCGTCAATCCTGACGGAGTGGATCAATGACAGATTGGATAGGATTTCCTGGTTGTGGGCAGGAAAACCATTGCGAAGATATTGCTGTGTGTCAAATGTATTCAACAGCTCTGTATTGTTCTCTTGAAAAACAGATCACTGCCAACGAAATCTATATTTCAGGATAAGCAAGGAAACTTTCAATTCATTGTCTTGTTGAATGGGAGAAGACAAAGAACAATGGCTTAAAAATGCCTTGAAACAAGTATACCCGTTTTGTTGATCTGTAGGTCTTGGCAATCCTTTACTGCTTCAAAAATATAGTTCGAACAAGACCGAAGTCATATAATCATATGGTTGGAAGAGACCTTGTGCGCCATCCAGTCCAACCCTCTGCCAAGAAGCAGGAAACTGCATTCAAAGCACCCCTGACAGATGGCCATCCAGCCTCTGCTTAAAAGCCTCCAAAGGAGCCTCCACCACACTCTGGGGCAGAGAGTTCCACTGCTGAACAGCTCTCAGTCACGAAGTTTTTTTCCTAATGTTCAGGCGGAATCTCCTTTCCTGTAGTTTGAAGCCATTGTTCCGTGCCCTAGTCTCCAAGGCAGCAGAAAACAAACCTACTCCCTCCTTCCTGTGACTTCTCCTCACATGGTCATGATATCTCCTCTCAGCCTTCTCTTCTTCAGGTTAAACGTGTCCAACTCTTTAAGCCACTCCTCATAGGGTGTGCTCTCAAGACCTTTGATCATTTTACTCACCCTCCTCTGGACACATTCCAGCTTGTCAACATCTCCCTTAAACTGTGGTGCAATTTTGTCTTACACACTCCAACATGGAACATGTCCTCTTTGAACTATAGAAGTTACTTTTGAGCATGTAAGTTGGTTGCAACTAAACTTTTAAAAATCTTTTTTAATCAAAAGTGTTCTACTTTTTAAAGCCTCGTTTCCAGAAAACAAGCAATCAAAACCCAGAATACATGGCATTTACTGGTTTCAGTAGGGTTTACCCTTAATTAATTGGGCCTAAAACTGCAGCATATGACTGGAATTTTCTTATTTTCTCAATTTAAGACCAATACTTCTACTACTGCCATTCTCATCTAGTGTGATCAGCCAGATTTCTAGACAGAGAATAGGATAGTCAACTTGTTATTGCCCTGAACTGCCTTCATCAGCTTTCATAGCTGGATAGGACTGTCAAGATTTATTGTGTAGCACAAAGTGTGCTTTAAGGACTCTTCATTGGTTTGATTCATCTTCTGTAGATGGCCACTTGAATGACAGGAAATAACGGAGGTATCATATGCAAATATCATCACCAAGGTTGAAATAGATCTGTGAATACATTGTTTTTAGGCAATTCCACGTTTAGAAGGGCTTTTTCAACTGCATTTTATCTTCTGAAACAAAAAACTTGTGCCAGCGTGAGGCTTAAATATCCAAATGATGAATGACAAAACTATAAAGTCAATTAATAATTGCTATATAGCTCCTAAAGTATATAAACAATTTAATGCTGTTACCTGAAGAGACATTATGTGGCCTACTACCTACATTTCTCTCTGGGTTGTTGTAGGTTTTTTCGGGCTATATGGCCATGTTCTAGAGGCATTCTCTTCTGACGTTTTGCCTACATCTATGGTAGTGAGGATGTTTGCCATAGATGCAGGCGAAACGTCAGGAGAGAATGCCCCTAGAACAAACTTTTTAAACAGAGGGCCACGTCACAGTCCCTCAAACTGTTGGGAGGGCCGGATTATAATTTGAAAAAAAAAATGAATGAATTCCTATGCACACTGCATATATCTTATTTGTATTGCAAAAACACTTAAAAACAATACAATAATTAAAATGAAGGAGAATTTTAACAAATATAAACGTATTAGTATTTCAATGGGAAGTGTGGGCCTGCTTTTGGCTGATGAGATAGGATTGTTGTTGTTGTTGTTGTTGTGTGCTTTCAAGTCATTTCAGACTTAGGGTGACCATGAGCAAGGGCTGGGTAAATGACCTTGGAGGGCCATATCCGGCCCCCGGGCCTTAGTTTGAGGACCCCTGCTCTAGAACATGGCCATATAGCCCGAAAAAACCTACAACAACCCAGTGATTCTGGCCATGAAAGCCTTCGACAATACATTTCTCTCCTTTGATTTCAAATTTAAGAGCACTGGATCGGGAATGTTTCTAGGACCAGGCACTATACATTCCATTCCTTGTTTACCATGAATCACAGGATTGTAACTATTTCAGCCCACTGCATGTGAATATGACTGTGTTTTGTTTGTTTTTTAAAAAAACCTTTTATTAAAATGTTTTGGATACAGACAAACCTTCTCTGCAAACATGTTTCACGTTTCCAGAAATGGGAAGTTCAAACATTTTGCTAACAGAATGACATACTTCTTCTCCCAATTCTCCAATCTGCAATCCAATTTCTAAAGAATATATTAAACTTTATATCCATATACTGTGAAGAGTTAGATTTGTCTAATGACAATACACATGGCAAGCGGGGTGGGAGGAGAAGTTAAGAGCTATTCACAATTGCTTCCTCCAGCGGTTGGGACACCACCTTCATAGAAAGCTGTGCTTTTCCTGGGCATCAATCCTATAGCTCTTGTTTATTTTTATTTGGGGGGTGGGGGAGTAGGTCTTTTTAAAAGCATGGAATCAGAGAATACCATTTCCAATAAGAGTGGGATTACTGTAGACTGTTATGTTCCCTACAACTCCATGGCACCACATTCATAGGCACTTCGCCCTATGAGATATTCACAAGTGATTGAAAAACTTCTTATGTAAAGCCCAAAGGTATTTACAAAGACTGACGGTGAATGCAACAATGATGCTATAGGCAGCCATTTTGGTAAAGTTGCTGCAAACAGATCTAGAATGAATAACAGAACCCCCCGTTTCTAAATAGGTGTTCGCTAGGCACCCCTTTCAGAAATAGTTTACTGTCTCATAGTTCTTCCAATGACGATCCAGCTTAAACTACCTTGGAAGTACATCGACCATTACACATCAGACAGTATCAACCTGTACAATTTAAACATATCGTGTTTGCAGTACATTCAGCTTTTCCTGCTGGCAGAGAAACACTAAAATTATCCTGTTTAGCAGCTGCATTACATACTTCAGAGGACTCCGTGTGGTCACTTATTACTCAAGGGCTATGTCAGAACAACGGGTAAAAGGGACAAACATGAAAGTTAAAGGAAATTAATTTTCAATATCACACTAAACTTCTGGGAATTTTAATTGTTGTGCTAGAGCACTGGTTCTCAACCTGTGGGTCCCCAGGTGTTTTGGCCTACAGCTCCCAGAAATCCCAGTGAGTTTACCAGCTGTTAAGATTTCTGGGAGTTGAAGGCCAAAACATCTGGAGACCCACAGGTTGAGAACCACTGTGCTAGAGGCTTTATTCACTTCAAAGGCGTTCAATGCTTAAGACGAAGGATGCTAGATCACAGTGGTTAACATGTCATGGTATGTTTTAGCATCATGTCTTAACAATACCATACTTTTCAAAGGAATTAAGTGCCTACAGCACTGTAGCCAATACACAGCCATTTTGCATTTTAGAGTTAGCAAACAACCGTTCTTGGACTCTGAGTCATATGTACCCAGAGACCAGTGGTTCTCAACTTGTGGATCCCCAGATGTTTTGGCCTTCCAACTGCCAGAAATCCTAACACAGTGGTTCTCAACCTGGGGTCCCCAGATGTTTTTGGCCTTCAACTCCCAGAAATCCTAACAGCTGGTAAACTAGCTGGGATTTCTGGGAGTTGTAGGCCAAAAACATCTGGGGACCCACAGGTTGAAAACCACTGTCCTAACAGCTGGTAAACTGTCTGGGATTTCTGGGAGTTGTAGGCCAAAACATCTGGGGAACCACAGGTTGAGACCCACTGTCATAGACTGAACTATATCTGCTAGTGAATACTAGAAATAATTCCAACTAAAGCACCATTGTCCTCTCCTAATGGAGAGGATGCCTGTGTGTTTAACCGAAAATGAAGATGACTAGGCAAATAATGAAACTTCAAACACAAGCTCTGTTGGATATAAAAGAAACACGGTTAGTTTACATTAACAGCATTATGATATGCAATGGTTGGAAAAATTTAATGCTACAGTAACCCAACAAAATTCATGATTTCTATTGTTTTTCCCCCAAGTTGCTTGAAATGCAAAACATTCTGCATCCTAAGTCCTTCCCCACTGGTGCTGCAAAGAGGAAAGCCTGCTGACAAAAGAGTGATAGCAACATTTAGAGGCGGGCCAAGGTGAATAACCATGTTTCAGATTCCTACATATCATGACATCACGGAAAGCTAAGACAAGTGTGTCTCCATGTGAGTGTTCCATTTCCCTTCCCAACTAAAAACCCTATCAAAGAAAAAGGGAAGACCATTGCACAAATCAGTCCCAACAGCACCATCTTCATCATCAAGCAGTGTGGCAGAACCACCATCTCATAGGGCAATTCAACCCATCTTTCTATCCAAATATCATGATACTTGGGTCGGTCATTTGGGAACTATCAGATTTTTTAAAAAATCTTAACAGATTCTGGCCCAAACAAGTTGAGTGTTAACTTAAACAATCTAAAGGGACAGGATATACACTGAACACTTTAAAAAATATAGTTGCTTTCTTTTAAGTCAATTGGCCACAGTGGTGAGACATGTTCTCTTTTCCAGCCGCTAAAAGAGTGCTGTATGCAGAGTCCCGCATTCCACCTCACTGGCCCCACTGTAACTGAAAGCCAAGGTTTCCAGTGGAAACAATGGGCCCTAGAGATGTGACAACTTGCACCAGTGTACAGAATGTTATCTCCAAGACAAAGGGAAAAGAACTGTGTCACCACTGTGATATGGGGTAACTGAAGACAGGAGTCCCTGGGTCAATGCCAGTATATGGTTGGAGAGCCTTCCACGTTCTAATAGAAAAGTCCATAAGGAAGCTGCAAACAGGATCAGTCCAGGAGTTAGAGCTGTCCCTCCAATATCAGTCAATATACTGGGACAGCCAACGGAAACCTTCACCGTAGCCTTGCCTCTTCAGCACACTGCACATGAACACTTCCATGGGGCGCGTGTTCAAGTCCTTCTGTGGCACGTTACCCTGGAGGGTCAAAGAAGAATTCATTCACTGGGATTCAGCTGCTGGATGTTTCCAGGCTCATTTTAAGAACAGAGTCAAGAGCAAACACCGCAGAATTACTTATCATACTTAATCACAGTTGTTTGATATACTGTATATACTCGAGTATAAGCCTAGTTTTTCAGACCCTTTTTTAGGCTGAAAAAGTTCCACTCAGCTTATACTTGAGTCCAGGTTATTTATTATTTTACTCTGCTATTAGTATTATTTTTATTACATTTATTATCTTACTCTATTATTATTACATTTACCTTATTATATTCTATTATTACTTTTATTACCTTTATTATACTCTATTATTATTACATTTACATTATTTTACTGTATTGTTATATTTATTACATTTATTATTTTACTCTATTATTGTTATTATTACATTTAATACTTTATTATTATTACTATTGTTATTAAATTTCCATTATTTACTCTATTATTTTTATTACATGTTATTACACTTATTATTTTATTCTATCATTATAGGTAATAGGTAAGCACATTTACATTGAAGGATGTTAGAATAATGGTTGAATCAGAGTTGAGCAGTCTTATCTTAAATAGTTTTATGTAAATACTCAAAAATATTTAACCTCCTGATGATTACCAGTAGCAGCTACACTTCTCACCCTCAGCTTATACTCGAGTCAAAACCTTTTTCCAGTTTTTTTGTGGTAAAATCAGGTGCCTCGGCTTATATTCAGGTCGGTTTATACTCGAGTATATATGGTAATCCTTGCAGCCTGACAGTGATCCAACAGTCACAAGAACACAAAAATGACATTACCTGAAGCATTTAGTGTATCCCAAGAAAAAGGAAGAGGAAAACCTGAAGCTAAGTGTCTCCCAAATAAAGACTCTTACCCTATTTGCTCCAGGGCTACTTATGTATCTCACGAAAGAGTAGGAATGGGAGCTCATGCCATGAACTCAAGAAGGTCAATTGCCTGAGACCAGTCTGACCTAATTCAGCATTACCACTACCTTGAACATAACTGCTGAAATCAATGTGGCTTAAACGAATTGTGACAAATCTCATTCATTAGAGTGGAAAAGCAGGGATACAGCCGTAAAATATTTCACTCTTCCAGGTCACTACTGTTAATCTGAAAATTGGCATTATTTAAAGATACCTCAAAAGGGGGCCTTTGAAGTGAAAATACTGAAACTTTAAATTAAGACCTTGATCTTCTTTTTAAAAATTGTACAACAGAAATGTTGTTAATTCCGTCTTATTTGTTATGCTACGGTATTACCAGTCACTGCTTTGTGAATGGCCACTTTTGTTTTTTCAGTATACGTAAGCTTTACTAGAATTTTCACAGGCAGTCCTTTTTCATTTCACTCCCATTTGTCCTTAGTGTTTACTATTTTTCCCTCTACAATCCTGTGAACATACCCATCAACCAAGGAAAATACTTCATGTATCTGATGAAGTGGACTCTACTATATGAAAGTTTAACCTGCTAACCATTAGACTGCCACAATTTTATTCTCCATCTTTGAAAAACGCATTGCCCAAAACTGGATCATTTACAGCTGTGCAGAAGCACAGTGTCCTTATTACAACTTTGGCAAAATTACACAGATAAACTGACTATCTGTAGAACACACTGATTTCACAAAAGCTTGTTACCTGTTATTCTAGTTTAATAGTTATGAGAATTTGTGAACCTTAAAATAGAAAGGCATGGAAAGGACATGGATTTTGCAATACATAACCCCCTCCCCTTTGTGAACCATACTTTGATTTCTTACCTTTCCTGTGGTCTGTCCATAAAGCCCAAAAATCTCTCGGAGTTTTTCCTCACTGATAGCTTCTGGTCTGTCAATTTTATTACCCAAGATAAGAATTGGCACATTGGATATTGTTTCATCAGTCATTAGTGCCTAATGAGAAAAAAAGTATGTGTGCATTACAATGTATAATGCAGCATGCAAACAATGATTCACAGTAAATATTCCAACCACAACATCAGCAAATACTACCGAAATGATTTCTTGCTAATGAGTATGGTGGATCCTTGGTATCCACTGGGATTTGGTCCCAGGACCCGCAGATGCTCAAGTTACATTTATACAATGGCACAGCAAAATGGTGTCCTTGTCGTGATAAAATATGCTGTATGGTTTGAGTGAGATTGTATGAAAGGCGTACGAATGCGGCTGAAGATACCATTCTAAGGAATGAGGCCTGGAAAACTACAAGACAGAGGTGAAGAACTTGTGGACTAATCAAAATTGTTGATGAGATTTGAGACAAATAATTATCTGTTGACATTCTGACTTGATGAACTCTTGGTGGAAAAACAACTTGTTTACATTGCCAAAGAAATTCTTTTAAGTAAGGAAGTCAACACTGTGGCTCCTTACAGAAATGTTTACAAGCCTCCTTGATAAGGAAAGCCAATTAAACAAAATCAACATCTGTCCAGGAACTGATGGAATCTGTCGATCAGTAATTTACAACTTTCAGAACCACATCAACAGAAAATACTACATAAAAGGACCCTTCTCTCTCAGAGAGTGTGTGTCAGACCAACTGAACACCATCATGAACAGCCGCCTCTTCTCAAGAAGCTGATTATCTTCAACACGAAGAATGGTAAGAATGCTTGATGAATGAATGAATATTAGAGTATATGTGTAAACATTGATGCAATATTTCCCCTTTGTCTATGTAACCAATATAATTATTATAAAACCCAGTACTGGAGTCTACTTTTTCTCTGAAAGTGCCTAATGCAACCTGTCTCACTAAAAGCGGAATAAAAGAACCTATTTAATGTTTTAAAAAGTACTTATGACATCCTTTATATAAAATGGCAAAATCAATGTTTGCTTTTGGGATTTTCTCATATGGCTTTAATTTAACAAGAAACAAAAAAGAGACTACATATAGATCAGGACTAAGCTGTATAATGGCACTTGTTTTTTGTGTTGGTAGGGAGTAACATACATTAAGTTCCACTTTTGACTCCAGAAGACGTTCCTGGTCTGCACAGTCCACTAAAAAGACAATCCCATTAATTGCTGGTAGATAGTTCTTCCATACACGGCGAGCTATGAGGGAAACAACAAAACAGCAGCACAAGTTACAATACCCAGAGGGGAAAAATGCAGTTTGTGTGCCCTGAGTAACTTTTAAAAAATACCTTGCCCTCAGAATCAAATGACTACTGCTGTTTTATGAGTATATCATTTTGAAAATAAACATATTCTTCAAATATTTTCCCAGCAATTTAAAATGCACGTTAAATAAATTACTGGTATTTTTGAAATAGAAGTTTATATTCTTATGGTCACTTCTCAATTGTCATAAAGAAAAGTAATTAAGAAAAAAGTTCACAGAATTTATTTTTTGAAAATCTCTGTCACAGCTCCCCAATGAATGAAATAACAAGAAGCTCTGTGATACTCTTTATAGGATCACTAAGTGCAGATAGTAAAAATTCCTAGGAAGGAAACAGTTGTTACCTTGTTCGTGGCCACCAAGATCAAATGTTGTGAAAGTCATTCCTGCAATTGTCAGCTCTTCTGATGCTGAAGAAAATGGGAAATTATTTATGAGATTAAGCGGAGGTTATATTAGCACAGTCTCCAATGTAACAGTGATTAGGAACAGATAAGCCATTCAAGGCACACAAGACTAAAGTTTAAGGATCATTAGAGTCCAAAGTTATTAAATCTTTCAACTTTTTATATAGCATGGAATTTTTGTTAATATTATTTTGTGAAAACAAATAAAATGTAGATTTTATATTAAACATATGCATACAATCTTATCCATGTTTAGAACACAGTAAATAAAAAAAATCAAACAGACGTTATAAGCGTTACTCTCCAATGAGAGGTATCATTATGACATTTTATTAAAAATAAGGGGTACATTTTAAATACTAGTAAAATGGAAAACAATTTTAAAAGGATAGGGTTAGGCTAAATAACCCTTACTTGGATGCAGTGTTGGGACATGTTGACCTAATCGGTCATCCTTGAGCATATGCAGAAGAGTGGTTTTGCCTGCATTATCCAGACCCAAGAAAACTAGCTTTCCAGACTTCTTGTATAATCCTGCAGAAAAGAAAAGCAGCATATATTAAACAGACTGAATCTGTGACATAAGATTAACCATATTTTCAAATTATTTCTGGAACTTTCATGAAACCGGGACATTTTAGATGCTATAGAAAACAATATTCAAAAAAGTTGAAAAAGCATATATGGTAAACTTGTGAAAAGAGAAAACACTCTCTTCAAAGCATGTAGATTCTTGTTTATTAGCATTTTTACCTCTCGCTGCTGCATAATGGAGCCGTGGTGGTGCAATGGGTTAAACCCTTGTGCTGGCTGAACTGCTGACCTGAATGTCGGCAGTTCGACTCCGCGAGACAGGGTGAGCTCCAGCTTCCCATGTGGGGATATGAGAGAAGCCTCCCACAGGATGGTAACACATCCGAGTGACCCCTGGGCAATGTATCTGCAGAAAGCCAATTCTCTCATACCAAAAGCGACTTGCAGTTTCTCAAGTCGCTTCTAACACAATAAAATACACCTAATGCAATTATTTGCCAATCCCTCCTATATATATTCAAATAAATTTGATGAAGTGAATCAGAAGCAAAAAAGGGGTGTGAATCAATAGCAAACCACAGGTTATCTTGCAAGAAATATTACAGACTGAATATCCCTCATACGAAATTTGTGACAATGACTGTTTTGGAGTATCTTTATTTGGAGATATCTTGGAGATGAGATCCAAATGTAAACACAAAATTCATTTACGCCTTATTTTATACAATATGTTATTAATTTTGTGCATGAAACAAAGTTTGTGTACTTTGAACCACCAAAAAGCTAAGGTATCACTATCTCAGCTATTCTGGAGTATTTTGGAATTCTGAATAAGGGATGCTGAACCTGCCCATTATACTTCAATCAGTTCTGTAATGGCTATATCTGTAACATAGTATGCAGAAAAGTAAAGTAATGGAATGGATTACAAATCACACAATTATCAGCACTGCCAGTATTGGATGCATCAACTATATCAGTGACAGTTTCATTTTTGGATGATAGTAAGATCAAGAGCACTATTCACATCTGAGTATTTGAAACCTTACCTAGAAACTGCAGCACACTGCTGAAGCCATTGTAGATCCATTCAAATATGAAGGACATTGTGGAAAATCAGTTGCCTAGAAAAATGTACATACAGAGTTAGGAGTCTTGGCTGTGCACCAGATAATTTCAATCATCTCACTTACCTATGAGCTAGAAAGCTGGCAAATTAGCCATCCAAATACTAACAGAAAAAGCAGGCTCAACTGTCTATCCTTCACATGTTTAAACACAACAGGAACAAATCAACACCTCCTCCTTCAAAAAGCATAAAATTGCATGCTAAACAACATCAATACCTTATGCATCTTCAATTGAGTCTATCGATTAGCTTAAATGACAGAAAAATGGTTTAGAATGACCACTATGAAAGTCAAAATAAGTTCAGACAGAAATATTAAGATATCATTTAAAGCTTCCTAATGGAAGCCGTTATATGACAATGACAAGTAATCATAAATCACAATAAAAGACAACATTAGAAAGCAATAGTGATATCCATATCACTATTGCTTTCTAGTGTTGTCTTTTACTGGGTTTTATTTCAGTTATCCCTCTGATGCAGGATTCATGTATTGAAACAGACTTTTAAGACCGTAAGACTCTAAACACCATTGCAAGTACTGAAAAATTATTGGATCTGCTGTCTTGTTAATGTATAAATGTGATGAACATAAATATATTGCCAACTAATATGCCAAGAAAGCCCTTGAATAATCAATATACACCATTCCTGGGAGTGGAGAAATATATTTCTAGCTCTATATGAAGCAAAACATGTGGAGAAATTATAAGACAGTTAAAGTTGTGGGCCAATATTTGTGGAGGGCCAAAAGGCCATAAACGATTTAAAAGCTTGAAACAGCCTCTCAACAAAAATGCCTGTACAACAACAAAAAGTAACAGTTGCCAGTCCTCTATACTCCAAAGCTAACAGCAAAACCATCCTGTTATTTTCTATGTGTTTTATACACAAGCATCAAAACAGAATGCCATCTTGTGAATATCGACCATATAACATCCTAACAACTGAACTAATTCCTTGTCACTAGACTGCCATACTATATTGCTGGTGTTGTAGTCTGTATTTTCTCACACACATTTTTAAACCTATAAGGGTAAAGACAAAACCAATTACCAGCCCAGGGTGGGAGGATTCTCACACCCAGCATTTAAAGAGGCCTTTTAGAACTACACTTTGGCTAAATTATTTTGGTAATCCATAAAATGAAGTTCAACAAGTAACTGGACAAGAATTAGAGGAAACTGGGAAAAAGCCAGTGCCCCCAAGTCCTTTCTGTGTCTATGATATTCATGCTAAGAAACAAAAGAAAGTATTTTTTGTCAAAGGCCTTTATGACTAGAATCACTGGGTTGCTGTGAGTTTTTTGGGGCTGTATGGCCATGTTCCAGTAGCATTCTCTCCTGACATTTGCTTGTGTCTGTGGCAAGCATCCTCAGAGGTTTGTTCAAAGGTCTGTTGGAAATGAGGCAAGTGGAGTGTATATATCTCTGTAGAATGCCCAGGGTGGGAGAAAGAATCAAGCTTGCTAATTGCAACATTCATACTTGCTTCAAACAGACAAGGTTTTTTCCATCATCCTGGACAGCCCACAGATATATACATAGGAGAGGCAGGCAAAAAGTCAGGAAAGAATGCTACTGGAACATGGTCATACAACCCAAAAACCTCACAGCAACCCAAAAGAAAGTATGGTTGGCATGCAAGAGAGGTGTTGTTCCTGATTTGAAATAGCACAGAAACCAATGCTAATCCCCTCCCATCTTTCTTTCTTTTTGAGCAGCTGGAATGATGGTAAGAGAAGTTGAGCAAGAATTGCTTTGCCCCAGGCCAGCAGAACACTCATAATTGAAACTATGGACTTTCCAGCTCCCTAAGGGCCCCTCCACACAGCCATGTAACCCAGAATATAAAGGCAGATAATCCTCAATCGGATTATCTGAGTCCACACTGCCATATAATCTAGTTCAATGTGGACTGTATATGACTGTGTGGGAGGAGTCTAAGTCACACAAAACCCAGCTTGGGGCAGTGGTGTGAACATTAGACCAGAACACTAAAGGCCAAGGTTCAAATCCCTGCTCTGCTAGGAAACCCACAGGGTGACCTTGGGCAAGTCACACTTTCTCAGCCTCAGAGATGGGCAATTCGACTCAGAACAAACCTCGGCCAGAAAATCCCAGGATTGGCTCCCCGGAAATTGGGAATGACTTTAAGGCATACAACAAGGTCTGACTTGTGAGCCAGTGGTGTTGCGGATTAAATGTTAGATTAGTTTCGCATTTTCACTGTTAGGAAGAATGCAGTTTGAGGCTACTTTAAATGCCATGGAATTGTGCAATAGGCAGTTTGGTGAGGTACCAGCCCTCTTTGGCAGGGAAGGTGAAAGACCTGATAAAACGACAACTCCCATGATTCCAAACTATTGAGCCAGGGCAGTGAAAGCGCTCTCAAACTGCATCATTCTACAATGGAGGTGAACCTTCGAACATGAAAAGCCCAGGATTCAGATCCCCACTTGGCACTGGAAACCCACTGCATGACCTTGGGTGCATCACACTCTCTCAGGCCCCTTCCACACTACCCCTTTATCCCAGGATCTGATCCCCGATTACCTATTTATCCCAGGTTATCTGTCAGTGGGGACTCATAGGGCCAATCCACACAGCCATATAACCCAGAATATTAAATCAGAAAATCCCACAATATCTGCTTTGAACTGAATATATATGGCAGTGTGGACTAAGATAGCACAGTTCAAAGCAGATTTTCTGCCCTGATATTCCGGCTTATATGGCTTTGTGGAAGGGCCCTGGGTTTTCTGAGTCCACACTACCACAGTTCAAAGCAGATAATGTGGGATTTTATTTGGCTGTGTGGAAGGGACCATATATTACAGTTTAAGTGGGATCATATATTACAGTTTAAGTGGGATCACTTCTGCACAGCTGTATAAAATCTACACTGAACTGGAATGTATGGCAGTGTGGACTCAGAAAACCCAGTTCAAAGCAGATATTGTGGATTATCTGCTTTGATATTCTGAGTTATATCACTGAGTTAAAAGGTCATGGGATCAGATCCTGGGACAAAAGGCAGTGTGAAAGGGCCCTCAGACTCACGGCCCTTCCACACAAACCTATATCCCAGAATATCAAGGCAGAAAATCCCACAATATCTATTTTGAACTGGTTTATCTAAGGGCCCTTCCACACAGTCCTATATCTCAGAATATCAAGGCAGAAAATCCCACAATATCTATTTTGAACTAGTTTATCTAAGGGCCCTTCCACACAGTCCTATATCTCAGAATATCAAGGCAGAAAATCCCACATTATCTGAGTGTGGACTCAAATAACCCAGTTCAAAGCAGATAAAATGAGATTTTTCTGCCTTGATATTCTGGGATATAGGGCTGTGTGGAAAGGGCTCTCAGTCCACACTGACATATATTGTTCAAGGCAGATAATATGGGATTTTCTACCTTGATATTCTAAGATATAGGGCTGTGTGGAAGAGCCCTCAGTCCACACTGACATATATTCCAGTTCAAAGCAGATAAAATGGGATTTTCTTTCTTGATATTCTGAGATATAGGGCTCTGTGGAAGGGTCCTCAGTCCACACTGACATATATTCCAGTTCAAAGCAGATAATGTGGGATTTGCTGCCTTTATATTCTGAGATATAGGGCTCTGTGGAAGGGCCCTCAGTCCACACTGACATATATTCCACTTCAAAGCAGATAATGTGGGATTTTCTGCCTTGATATTCTGGGATATAGGGCTGTGTGGAAGGGCCCTCAATCCACACTGATATATATTCCAGTCCAAAGCAGATAATGCGGGATTTTCTGCCTTGATATTCTGGGATATAGGGCTGTGTGGAAGGGCCCTCAGTCCACACTGACATATATTCCAGTTCAAAACAGATAATGTGGGATTTTCTGCCTTGGTATTCTAAGATATAGGGCTGTGTGGAAGGGCCCTCAGTCCACACTGACATATATTCCAGTTCAAGGCAGATAATATGGGATTTTCTGCCTTGATATTCTGGGATATAGGGCTGTGTGGAAGTGCCTTCAGTCCACACTGACATATATTCAGGTTTAAAGCAGATAATGTAGGATTTTCTGCCTTGATATTCTGGGATATAGGGTTGTGTGGAAAGGGCCCTGAGTCCACACTGACATATATTCCAGTTCAAAGCAGATAATGTAGGATTTTCTGCCTTAATATTCTGGAATATAGGGCTGTTTGGAAGTGCCTTCAGTCCACACTGACATATATTCCAGTTCAAAGCAGATGTGGGATTTTCTGCCTTGATATTCTGGGATATAGGGCTGTGTGGAAGTGCCTTCAGTCCACACTGACATATATTCCAGTTCAAGGCAGATCATGTGGGATTTTCTGCCTTGATATTCTGGGATTTTATTCAGCTGTGTGGAAGGGGCCTCAGAGGAAGGTCAAGGCCAAACAAGTTAGGAAGAGGGGCTGGCTGCTTGCCTTTGCTGGGAGGCAAGATTGTGGTATCTTCTTCTAAAGGCAACTCAATCCCGTTTCCCATTTTGTTTATGTACCCGCTTCCGCCTCTCGAGCCATCGAGGCGACGCATAATTGTGATTTTTTAAAAAAACATACAGGAACTCAAGACAAAAAAGTAAAAGCAAGGAGGAGGAGAGAGCAATTGAAGAATAGGCGAACGGCCTGTGAAGCCACGTAAGAGCAGGAAAGAAAAGGCGAGCAGGTTCCAAAAAGGCAATACAGACACGATAGGCATATACATAGACGAGCGAATGACGAGGCCTAGCCGAAGAGAAGGCCAAGGCCTGCTCAGACCCCTCCTCCTCCTCCCGGCACCCGCCTCGCCTGCGTGTCACTCGCCCGCCTCCCCTCCTCCTTTTCTCCTCGGCTCAAGTTGAGGCCTCTTCCCGGCCCCGCGGCCTCCTCCTCCTCGCCGCTTTTCCGCCTCACCTTCTCCCTTCGCCGGCCTCCTCAGACTCTCCCCCGCACAACTCCCCACTCCTTCACTCCTCAGCCGCCAGCTCCTCGCCGGAACTACGTAGCATCTCCACCCGCGGCAGCTATGGCCGCTACTTCCGGTGAGGGGGGGCAAAAGAGCCGCGACTGCTTCGTTGGCCCCGGCGTCGCCGCGTGCTGACGTGTCCCGCTTGACGTGACGTGAGCTTAAGCTCCGCCCCCTCTGGAAGGAGGGGAACAGGAAGGAGGTGTGCCTCGCTTCATTCCCTCCCTAAATCTCAAAGGAAGGAATCCCACTGGAGCATTGCAGCACACCCAAATACCTGGGAGTCACTCAGGACCGTGATCTGACCTACAAGAAGCACTGCCTGAATATCAAGCAAAAAGTGGGCGCTAGAAACAATATCATACGAAAGCTGACTGGCACAACCTGGGGATCACAACCAGACACAGTGAAGACATCTGCCCTTGTGCTATGCTACTCTGCTGCTGCATATGCATGCCCAGTGTGGAACACATCTCACCACGGTAAAACAGTGGATGTGGCTCTTAATGAGACATGCCGCATTATCACAGGGTGTCTGCACCCTACACCACTGGGGAAATTACACTGCTTAGCCGGTATTGCTAAGCAGTGGGGAGGCCTAGGTGGCGCAGTGGGTTAAAGCACTGAGCTGCTGAGCTTGTTGACCAAAAGGTCGCAGGTTCGATTCCAGGGAGCAGTGTGAGCTTCTGCTGTCAGTCCTAGCTTCTGCCAACCTAGCAGTTCAAAAACATGCAAATAGCAGTTCGAAAACATGCAAATGTGAGTAGATCAATAGGTACCGCTCCGGCGGGAAGGTAACGGCGCTCCATGTGGCCACATGACTTTGGAGGTGTCTATGGACAACACTGGCTCTTCGGCTTAGAAATGGAGATGAGCACCACACCCCAAAGTCAGACATGACTGGACGTAATGTCAGGGGACAACCTTTACCTTTACCTTTTAGCCGGTATTGCACCACCTGACATCCGCCGGGAAGTAGCAGCCAATAGTGAAAGGACCAAGGCAGTGACATCTCCAGCTCATCCCTTGTTTGGGTATCAGCCAGCACGTCAACGACTTAAATCAAGAAATAGTTTTCTTACATCTCCAGAGACACTCAGCAAGCGAGAGTCCAAAAGTGGCAGGCTCAAACCCAGCACCTCAATCCATGGGTAATACCAGATGAGAGACTCCCCCCTGGGCACTCAGAAGACTAGGCGACTTGGAAGGCGCTGAACAGACTGCTCTGGCACCATGAGATGCAGAGCCAGTCTTAAGAAATGGGGCTACAGGGTGGAATGCAAGTGCGGAGAAGAACAAACCACTGACCCCCTGCTGCAATGCACCCTGAGCCCTGCCACATGCACAATGGAGGACCTTCTTGCGGCAACACCAGAGGCACTCCAAGTGGCCAGATACTGGTCAAAGGACATTTAACCAACTACCAAATTTGCAAAATCTCTCTGTGTGTTTTTTTCTTTTTCTTTTTAATCTGTGTGTTTGTTTTGCTCTGTTAGAATTGTAATACAATGGTATGGTTGCTGATGACACGATAAATAAATTGCAGCACACCCAAATACCTGGGAGTCACTCTAGACCAGGGGTCCATAAAACATGGACCATCTACAAAATTCACTCTTGACTTCTGGAACAGTTCCTTCAGCATTGGCTTTGAAACATCCTGCAAATCTCTTGCTTCTTCCAGAACAATCTCTTGTTCTGGAAGAAGCAAAAACTATGAGCACTGAAGCAATGATTCTCCACCATTAACTTCACTGGACCGGACACGTTGTCCGAATGCCCAATCACCATCTCCCAAAGCAGTTACTTTATTCTCAGCCCAAAAATGAAAAACGGAACGTCGGTGGACAGCAAAAAAGATTTAATAATAGCTTTAAAGCTAACCTTAAAATGTGGTATAAACACTTACTTACTTACTTAGGCGATCCCTCGTTGGACGAGTAAGATGGTCTTCCATCATGGGTTTCCTTGTGGGTCTGTATGTGGCTGTGGAGCCCTATTCTTGCTCTGCATCTTCTTCGGCCGTGAGGGCATTGGTTTCCAGGTGGAAGGCGGTCCCGGTTGGGGTTGGCTTGACGCGCCTTCCTCCTGGAACGTTTCTCTCTTTCGCCCTCCACTCGTGCCTCCTCGAATTCTGCAGCACTGCTGGTCACAGCTGACCTCCAAGGGCCAGGGCTTCCCAGTTCTCAGTGTCTATGCCACAGTTTATAAGGTTGGCTTTGAGCCCATCTTTAAATCTCTTTTCCTGTCCACCAAAGTTCCATTTTCCGTTCTTAAGTTCAGAGTAGAGCAACTGCTTTGGGAGACGGTGGTTGGGCATCCGGACAACGTGGCCGGTCCAGCGGAGTTGATGTTGGAGGACCATCGCTTCAATGCTGGTGGTCTTTGCTTCTTCCAGCACACTGACGTTTGTCCGCTTGTCTTCCCAGGAGATTTGCAGGATTTTCCGGAGGCAGCGCTGATGGAATTGTTCCAGGAGCTGCATGTGACATCTGTAGACAGTCCACGTTTTGCAGGCATATAGCAGGGTTGGGAGGACAATAGCTTTATAGACAAGCACCTTGGTATCCCTACGGATGTCCCGGTCCTCCAACACTCTCTGCTTCATTCAGGAAAATGCTGCAATTGCCGAGCTCAGGAGGTGTTGTATTTCGGCATCGATGTTGACTTTGGTGGAGAGGTGGCTGCCAAGGTAGCGGAAATGGTCAACATTTTCTACTGTTACACCATTAAGCTGTATCTCTGGCACTGGAGAGGGGATGGCTGGTGACTGCTGGAACAGCACTTTGGTTTTCTCGATGTTCAGTGACAGGCCAAGCTTCGTGTATGCTTCTGCAAAGGTGTTGAGAGTGGCTTGTAGATCTTCTTCTGAATGCGCACAGACAACATTGTCATCAGCATACTGGAGTTCCATAACAGAAGTTGTTGTAACTTTGGTTTTGGCTTTCAGTCTGCTGAGGTTTAACAGCTTGCCATCTGTCCGATAGATGATTTCCACTCCAGAAATAAACACAGAGAACTGGGAAACCCTGGCCCTCAAACGTAACTGGAAGTCAGCTGTTATCAATGGTGCTGTGAATTTTGAAGAGGCAGGAATAGAGCGCAAAAGGGAGAAATGTGCCAAGGTGAAGGCATGTCAAGCAAATCCTCGGGACTGCCTTCTATCTGGAAAACTATCTCCTCAATTTGAAAGACCACATGGATCCAGAATACGTCTTCAGAGACATTTACAGATTCACCGCCATGACTCTACTTTTGAAAGGCAACCATACTAGGCCATGCGTGATCGCCTATAACTACCTAGTTGGCAATGATTTAAAGGCAGACAATTACATCATTTTACAAGTTCCTTTTATGTTTACACCTAACTCCACCACATACTCAGATATTCACTACTGTTTATAGTAGGCATGTCCAAAGGTGTGTGTGGTGGAGGCTATAGTCTGTATGGTGTGAATAAAGCTAGTGCTCCTGCCTATTTCTAGTTTGTTTTTTTGGTCGTGTCAGGAGCGACTTGAGAAACTGCAAGTCGCTTCTGGTGTGAGAGAATTTGTCGTCTGCAGGGACGTTGCCCAGGGGACGCCCGGATGATTTGATGTTTTTATCATCCTTGTGGGAGGCTTCTCTCATGTCCCCGCATGAGGAGCTGGGGTTGATAGAGCGAGCTCATCTGCCTCTCCCCGGATTCGAACCTGCGACCTGTCGGTCCTCAGTTCTGCCGGCACAGGGGTTTAACCCACTGCACCACCGGGGGCTCCGCCTATTTAATAGAATGTGATAAGAACTATGTCAACTAGAGTTATTTCTCCACATTTGTGGATTTGACTTTTGCAGATTTGATTATTCAGGTATCTGATTTAAAATGTTATCTCTAAGAACCTTATCACATTAGGAAATACTCCATTTCTGAAATTGTATTCCGTTGGAGGGTGTTTGCAAAGCATCGCATAAATTGATTATTTGCAGATGGGATTCTAATTGTGTTTCTTGAAATGCTACAGATTCTTCCATTGCTGAAGCACTGTTTTTGTGTGTGATAGGAAAATCTGTGTGCATCCCATCAACAACTATACTACTTGTCATCCGTAGACACAGTCTCATGACCACAGATGGAAGCGGCTGCCATTTCTGTTTTGGGAGTCAAAGGGGAAAGATCTCCAGAATTGTAATAATCAGGTGTAATAAGGAGAGTATGTGTCCCATCTCAATACGGTATGCATCCAGTCCTAAAAAAATATGGGATGCATACTGATATAAATGGATTATATTATAATGTGATAAGGTCCGAAGAATCTCTAGGTCCTCCAATATGTCTCTATGGTCAAGTGCTTTCAGACATGCTGCAAGACCTAGAGATTTCTAGAAAGTACACTCTCTAGGAATCGCTTGGTCAGAGCTTTACAAACATTTCATGTTGGTGACACACTTCATAGATACGAGCATGCATCATATTGCGACAAAGTATTTCAGTTTTACTAGCAAACCAGAGGTTAAACTAACCCCTTATAAGGCACATACATACATTGCAGTAATGAAATATATGGGAACCCAACATATCTTGGGAAACCCTTTCATTTATATTTTTTAAAATATATGATTTGTAGGATAACATCAATTTACAAGATTTTTGTCATTTCTCGTTACATTTGCACAATACACGGACACACTTCAGATGACACACAAATGTTTGGAAAGCTCTGCTCTAGGACATCCAGTGTAATTCTCTGGGTCGGTTTCCAGCAGAAGTTGGCCACAGAGGCATGCTAGAAGACTTAGACATTTGCCTAGAGAAGTATTCTCTCAGGTAAAAAAAATTAGCAATTTCTTTATTTGTGGTTTTTCATTTTCACAGAGGACTAGTGAATGTGGAGGGCTAGCTGTATAATGATTTTGCAGTCACGTGCTATGCATGTTTAACTTAAGAGCTAAAATGTGTAAGAAATAAAGAGATACGGAGTATACATATGTAAAACATGCAATAGCAAAGAGGGGGAGGGAAGTCTGCTGACAAATAGCCAGCTAAAAGTAAACAAGATAAAGGACATTGTCAGACTCCATGTACCTGGAAAACAAAGCCAACATTTGCTCCTCACACTTAGCTTCTTATGTAATA